TCTCTCCCCCCCCCCCAAAAAAAAGCCCCCCCCCCCCCCCCCCCACACACACACACACACACACACACTTTCTTGGGTAACGAGTCAGCTGTATTGAAAGATTTATAAACTTTTATCACATACAAGTAATGTGAACAAGATGAGTAATCCAATACTTTCTTTCTTTCATGCCCTCAAAAAATGTAGGCATATAGTTGCAGGTGGGGCTATGTTGCTGTACTTCTTGTTGGCAAGCCTGATATATACAGGGTTGATGTGCTCCATTCACAATTTTGGACCAGGATTGGCAACTCAGAGTGATCAGTAAGTCCATGTAGCTTCAAGGGTGCATTCAGTTGCAGTTGATCCAAGGACTAGCTAGTCTGCGGATCAAATATGGCGCCACTCACTTGAAAACATGCATTTAACTGCTCTGCTTCTGCTGGGGTGGCGAGCATGGGAGGCAGGAATCCATTGTCCAGTGTACGCCATATTTGATCCAGGGACTAGTTAGTCTGCAGATCGACCAGTTCTGACTGCACCCTAAGTATTTGATGACTGACACTCAGACAGTCTTGTCTTAAAATTTTGATTTCAAAGAAATGGAACACAGTAATAGTGATTTGGGCTTAAACACTTTCTTTTTGACAATAAACAGTAGGGCCTTTGTATCTTGACATCAGCTATTACAGGAGACTGAAATTAGTATCAATTGACAAAATACACATTCATGATTTAATTTTTATCAGATCAGAGGCACTCTACGTAGTCTTTAAATAAAATTGTAATTTCCACTTGCAGGCTGACCTACTTTGATTTAGTTTACATCAAGCCCTATGCCAGAATAGGGCCCTATCTTATGGGCATGGTTGTAGGTTATGTGCTGTACCTCACGGAGTGCAAGCCTAAGATGAATAAGGTGAGTGTGTATGGTAACTCATGTCATCACTGACCATCTATTAAACATATATAATCATGTCAGCACTCATCATTTTCTTTGATCACATAATTTTATTTTTTCAAAACTTGCATCATCATTTGCCTTTGAAGTTTCATTTTTTTTACATCTTTTTTTAATAGAATTTTTAATATCTTCTAGATGATAGCCTTGGGAGGATGGGTTGTGGCCACAGCATGTGCCTTAGCAGTCGTCTACGGTGTATATGATGTATACCAGGGTCACCCGCTGAGTAACGATGTTGGCGCATTTTACAATACAATGTCAAGGACGGTGTGGGGTGCGTGTGTTGGTTGGGTTATATATGCATGCTGTACTGGATATGGAGGTGAGCATATTTTTAATTTACGTCCCCATTTTGAGTCAAGTGTGCATGTCACTTGATGCCACAAGAATGGCAACAGGGATTTGAATAGTTTTGTTCTGACAGAGAGAGAGGTAAATGGCCTAAGATACATAATTTAGATTCACAGTGTCATGGATTATTGATTGAAGTAATGGGTTGGTCTTGTGACACAGTTATGATGAAGAAGGACCTCGCCATGGTCTCATTTCAGTTAGTATACGCACTTAATTAAGGATTGATACGCTTTAAAGGCCTACATTTGACAGCATAGCTTCTTCCCTGCTTCCTTTTTTTTTAAGGAAAAAAATACTAACATATTGCAGCAAATATTTGTTAAACATTAAATTTAGTCACTTTTTAAAACACCATACTTGTTTTTATTAACATATGTAAATTATTATTTTAGGGTTTGTGAACACACTGCTGTCTTGGGGTGCTTTTGTCCCTTTGGGTCGACTGACATACTGTGCATATCTAATTCATCCCATCATCATGTTTGTTGTTTACTCTGTTCGAGAAAGACTGATATTTGTGACAGATGTGTCAGCGGTGAGAAATTTATGATATCAAAGTATTCACTTTAAAAGTTTAATTCAAACCAAAATTACCTTGGTCTGTCTGAATTAATTACTACCAGTAGTAATTATGGATTTGCATATACAGAAGTTTATTAATGATTTGACTTTTCTATTAAAAGTTAATTATTGATGATAAGTAACTATTTAGAAAGTAATTTATTTGTAAACTTAAAAGTATTTTATACATGTGTATTTTTTAAAATTCTCAAAATTAATCAACTATCAAAAATAATGGGAATAACATTCTGTCAGTATAGTCTAGTTTTTTAAAATAAACAAATGCATTTAATATATTTCATATTCCCAGAAACATTTGCATATTAATGTTTTGAAACGTACTTAAGTATACACATCCATTTGAACTAGGACCATAAGTAGAATTACAGAAAACCCCTCTGTGTTGCGGGCCAATCTCCAATCTGAAATATTTCTACTAATGTGTTCACAGCATGGCTATTGGGCTGTTATTGCATACATGACCAGCTCATTTTTCTTTTTTTTTCTTTTCAGACTTACTTCTTTTTTGGCCACATGGTGATGACATATGGTTGTGCATTTGTTGTGTCCATGGTCTTTGAGGCACCAATGATGGGTTTGGAGAAAGCTATATTAAACAGAGATAAATCAGTTTAGATTGACAGGAGAGTCATATGACTGTAAGCTGCTGCCATCTAGTGATAGAAATGTACACAATGATCATCTTAGACAGCGTTCAGATTCAAACATTGTACCAGCAGGATGGATCCATTTCTGTGGGGATTTTTGCTAAATTGCATTCAGTGTAATCAGTTTAATTGTCTGAAACATTTCCTTGAAAAGCTAGGGGGTAATTAACTTTCGCGTGCACTCAGCTTAATTACCCCCTAACAGCTTGACTAGGTGTGTGATACACTTTAGCCGATGACAGCGATTGCACTTAGGGAGAATCTCCCGCAGAGTTGGATCAATCCAGCTAATATGATGGGTTTTTTGAATGCTCCCTTATTTTGCTCATAATGATTTGGCTTCAATTAGCTTTAATAATTTGATGGATGTTGCATTTTATGTTACTGTTAAAGGAGACATATATCTTTTCATTGTTATCTTTTTAGTCTTATGCATATCTATGAAGTATGGAGCGCTATATCTTGTTATTAACCAAATTTCAATCAATGGCATATCACTGAAGTCTTATGGCGCATTTAGAACGAGTTGATTAGTGTGGCAGCCATATTTCATCCACAATTCTGTAAGTATATGTACGTGTATCAACTTAGGTTGTGAATGCAGATTTACATGTATGACTATGGTAATTTCATGATAAACACTTTGTCAATTATAAGCATGGATGTCTATATATGGAGTTTGGTCACAGTCAGTGGCAGCACAAAAAACTGCCATTAATTTATATGTGAACTGATTTATAATTATTTTCATTAAATGAATACCCTGGGTTACAATTCTCAAAAGACAAAAATCACCTGTACTTATCTATCACTTGTTGAAAGCATCAGCTGAAGTTTACATTGGTCTCTGGGAAAGCAAGATAGCCCTCAGATGGGACAAAACTCAGGATGCAAGTTATTGTGCTCAGCTCCTTATCTGTCTCTAGACACTCACAAATCTGAATGTTTATTTTTAATGAACTTTTGGTTTTGTATGCCTCGTCAGGAATAACACTACCTAACCTTACATGCCTTATGATCAGGAATCATTTTGTTTTGATTGTCTGATACTTCCACCCATTCCATGGAAACCCATTTACATTTATACCACTATAAACTAAAATAGCTTATAAACCACCTTTAACAAAGACACTAGAGGTCGCTGCTGGGCAAGACCAATAGGAGCTATTGTTCCCAGACTGTAGTTCATAAACGTAAGTTATTAAAATGTTAGCTGAAGTGCTTTATATATATTTATGTAAGATTGAAGTTTTATGTTTATTTCACAGCTTTTAGCGTTTCTCAAACTTCAAAACTTTTCATGTTATATTATATACAGAATCATGATGATATGCATTTACAGCTTTTAATATTTATATGATATCTTAGATATTTACTTTAAGCTTTTTATATTAGCTAGGTCTGATTGTTGTTTCTTCTGGTTGTGAAATGCTACTACCCATCAAGACAGAAAAGCAAGCAAAATGTGCAAGAATTGTTTTTGTTTATACAGTCATTGGTTTTATGGCTTTTTACAAAATAGAAAAAAGGACGATTTACAAACTCACATTTGTATTCATTATATATGCATACATATAAAGGGTGGAGCGCTAGTTATCATAAAAATAGCTTATACAGTGACTAAAATATTGTGTTATATTCATCTAGTCAATTTTGAGAGTACTTTGTTTTTAGGGTTTTAGACCGTCATCTTTGTTTGATAAAAATCTGTCTCTTATTCATGCATTTCCGTTTGTTTGTTTTTTTCCCTCTAATTTTAAGTCTTTGTTGTACTTTGGAGGGGTGGGGGAGATAAATCATGATGTACCAGCATGTATGTTGGGTCTCTTCTTTTAAATAGATTTTCGATCTGCAATAAGCTGAAATAAAGGCTTGTCGTACATACACTTTTACTTTTTCTTTTTTTGAATTAATGTCTGTAGCGATTAATTCAAAAAAAGAAAAAGTAAAAGTGTATATGCGACAATAACAAGCATTAGTTTTTAAGATATTACAGCCAGGCGTTTAATTTCCAGCCTTTTTGTTTTATTTTAAAATTGAACCAGCATAATTCTCTTTATAGTTTTTTGTCAAAATCATGATCATATCAAAGCGGCGCATTGGAGAAACGAATTTTACTCCTTTTTTCTTTCTTCTTTTTGTTGGGGGTGGGGTAGATACTTTAAATAATAAAATTGAAGAAACAAAAACTTTTCCTGCTTTAGACCAAACTTTGTTTATTAGATTTTCGACAATGATTTCCATTAACCACGCTCAATGAACTGAAGCTGTTTTCATAACGGCTGGAATCGCTTTTATCATCTGATTTGTATTAACTTCGGTTTTATCTTAGATCTCCAAGTACGTCCATTCAAAATAAATCATTGTTTAGATCTATATTGTGACGGCGTCTGGAATAAACGTGGGTTCCGCCTCTAGCGTCCCGTACAAAAGTTGACGCACATCAGCGCGTTGTCGCCAGGTTAAAATATGCCGAATAACAGGACGGGCAGTATCGAAGCACTTCATAATGAACTTTGTAGACACCCTGTATTCCATGTAAAACTTGCGGCTCGCCAAGCCCTGTGTGATTCCGTCGTAACGTGTCTTCTTCCTGAAAGTCTGTAAAAGAAAAACAAACCCGGATTTCATAGTCCTAACTTGTATACCCTCGCGAAGTGCCGCTCGAAAATAATCACGCGTTATTTCAAATTTCCCAGAATCGCTGTAATCCGTTTGTGTGGTGTCACGAGTTGTGTTTACGGTGACGGCATTACACTGAATCCGGTTGGAGTTGTACAACATTGTCGCTGAATGTATCACGAACCACTGGGAAAACCACCAGGAATATCGGTCCAGGCGATCGATGTAGGGCAGCAAAAATGACAACGTGTGGCGGTGAAATGCATTGACAATCCCATCGAACTTGTAATTGATGTTCACTGGGGACGATACGTTTATATAATTTGTCCTAAAATGAGGATAGCCAACAGCTGGTTCGAAGTCCAACAGAAACAGTTCAAAACGGTCGAATGGATTGTCCGGCAAGTCGGCTCTCCAAGTTCGTTTTTTATCATTATTAACCGAAAGTTCCGCGTCACCATCCATGAAAATGTAGTAAAGGTACCCTCCATCTTCCCTTATCGCTGACCTACCGATTGCTTCGCTCAGCAGCCTGTTTCGACCCTCAGTCCAACTGCAATTTGGAAAGAAAATATCCCCAGAAGCTTTTTTACGCGTCAACCAAATAATATCTCGATCCTGGGTCACTTGGAGGTAATTTATTGAATGAGTTTCGGGTCCCTGGATAAGATAAACGAAGCGGGCTGCCCGTGGTGTTTCACTTTGACCATTCACGTGAGCAATTTTCAAATATTTTACCTCAGTGCCTTTTCTTTTGCTTGGCCCAAAGTCTTGCGCATATTCTCTCTCATCCTCTGTGCTTTCCCTTGATCTGACGACATATTTTAATTCAGCCGTTTTGCTTGCTGAGTTTCTTTCTTTCCCTGCAGCAATGGGCACGTGGTCGACGGAAGCACGTTGCATCGTAACCATAGTAACCGCAATGGGAAGGGCAACAAGCAGCGTCTTTGCTAAACGAGCAAGAGTTAACCTGGAGAACGCTCTGAGAAACGCCATGTTTGGGCGTGTAAGAAAGTACAGCTGATGTGAGTCGAGGAAGAGCAGAGAGAGCACCGTGTCCTATGCCTTTGCCAATGAGGTTTTCACCCTGAGAACCGCAGGTCGCTTTCAGGGCTCGCTGTTGTGACAGTGCCACTGGTCTCAGAGTTCCGTTTATGTTCAGAAATGGTAATAGTATTAAATTATCACATTTGTCAATAAAATGTCAATTTATTAGCCCTAATACATTTTTCTTAAAAAAATGTCGATTGAAACCATAGACGACCGCAATATATAATTAGCTCTATCTCGTTCCCGACATAAAAAGATTTTTTTGGATTTCGACAAAAAAAAAAAGCATCACGTGTAGCTTTTTTTGAAAAAATGCTGCCTTGGTAATCAAAATCTTTCGTAAACTTTTCCTACCTGTCTAGTAAGCATTGGCTTGACATATCGTCAATATCTTGAAACCCAGGGTATCAATTTCTTCGCCCTTTGCGCATGATCCGTACTTAAAAGTTATCACTGACGATTAATTAACCTACTTTTCATAAAGTCAAGCGTCTCGCTTTCAAACCAGTGTGTCATTGGTTGAAAAATAAGTTGGCAGTTGGGGACGCTTGAGTGGTGTTACTGTTCCTCGTGTCACACCCATCGACATTTGTAGACCCGAGCAGTACGGCCCGGTAGCAGCATCTGGACGGTCTCTAGAATCGCCATGGTGGGCCTCCTCAACTATCGGGCGAGGGGCATCGCCCTTCTGCTTTTGGGTGCCTTTTTGGCCTCAGGAGTGTACGCCGGTGATAAATGTGACGCGCACCAGTATTTCGAAGAGGGCCATGATGTGATTGAAACATGGAGACTCGTACTTGGTAAGTTTTTCGACCGGCGTCATTGCCCGTAATCATTGTCCAGTTCAAAGTGGTGGGCTAGGTTTTTGGGTGTATAAATAGTAAGTATTTAAATTGCCAATGCACGATTTTAACAAAAGGAAAATTGAAGTTGACGCTGAAAGTC